TATAGTAATACTAATAACTATGTCCTTATATGCATATGGCGTGTATGGTGTATTATAATAAATAACACGTATAAAATATGTGTAACACGTTGAATCATATAATATCCTGGGTGATTCACACACATATACTGCCATTTATTTTGGACTTGTGAAATTTACGTATAAGGGCCATATTTTCAAGTACTTACATAGATATTTTATACCATTTAAGGAATGTACTGTGTAATGGCGTAATTTGTGGGATTGAAAGGTGGGAATTTACCCCTGGGCCCTGGCTGATTTTATGATTTTAAAATCAGTCCAATGGGAGTTGCCCAGTGGTTTTCGATTAACCATTATTATATTATATTAATTATTAGCGCAAAAATATGCTTATATTTAATTATAGGAACATATTATATTGTGTAGATACTAAGAATTTATTGCCACAAATCATAATGATAAATTGTTAATAACTAATTAATAGTTGGAATATATTTATATTTTGTGTGTGTACGTGCCTGAAAGTTGGTGTGTCTTATGAGGAAATACTAAAAAGGAACATAATATATAAATATGTGCTTGCAAGCGGTTGTTTTTTAAGTTACCTACCCATTTGTGCTGGTATAACTTTTGCCCCTTCTATTAAAAACTGAAATGATATCAACATATTTATTTTTTTTAAACGAGAAACAACCCCCTTTTTACTACAAATTATTAAGCAAATGATTTTTTTAAATAAAATATATTAATATAACTACCTAGGTAAATAAATAGTATTTTGTACCTACGAGTAGTTTCTGAGTTATTAAAATGTACTAATAATATAATAATATTCTAGTCCTGAAAAATGGTTTAACATAACTTTAAAATATACGTAAATACGTAATATTTAATCTAGTATAGGTTAGGTATTTAATTAAACAGTTTTTGAAAAGTATAAATATTGATAGATTAGAATTAATTAGTAATTACTATAATTTACAAATCATCATAGCCCCCAAATCTTCCAAACCTATATTATCATGGACTTATCCTTAGTAGTTAGTATATAATAATATAATTAAAAAACTAGGTACTCGTTCAAATTTGGGTTTGAAATTTGAATACATCGTTTTTAAAAAAACTATCTACTTAAAACTGTATTTGGAATTTATAGATATAAACCTGCACAAGCACACATCGCAGATATCGATGACAGTATTTTCATTTGTCACTCAAGTCATTAGTCTGCAGTAGGTATAGGTATACTGAATACCTACTGACTTGTGAGTTGTGACCATATGTCTATACTGTCTATACTGAGTACTGACCAGTGACCTACTTGGGTCTGTCTTGTGAATTTCTTTATACCCATGGGCCATGACGTGTTTGGATTGTCATCGACTATTGTTTATTATACGAATGTAAAAACTAAAAACCCAAACAACAATTATTGGGAATAGAGTACCTAAGTAAATCGAAATCGATTTTATAATCAGAAATCAGAATTATTCAGAACTCTTGTGCAACTGTGCGTAGTTGTGATATTGGAGGGGGGACTGGGGGAGGCTAAAGGCTAATTATAATTAGGGGATTATAATCTTATTTTCATTTGAATTAAATTGAATATTAGTAACGAGTAACATATTATATTCCGAAACTGTCAAGGATTTTCAGTAATAATATTTAAGAACATTATAGTTATTCATGTTAATAACGTACCTATATACAATTTGAATTATTCTGATTGCTCTAAATTCTCTAAATTACTCTAAATTCTGATTACAATAGTCGATTACACTTCGATTACGCTTAACCCACTGATTTTACCGGCCGAATTCCGCGGCTTAACCTGAGATCATCTTATATAATACGGGCCCTTAGATATCTATAGGTACCAAATTATTACCTACCTATTAATAATATATTTATACATACATACATACAATCTTACCCTGAAGGCTGAAACAATTTCATTTTCATTTGGTTCAAAACTGTTGCTGCTAACAGTCAAGCCAAAAGATACAAGTTATAATTTATACGTCTTCGATATTTTAAAACTTTATTTTAACTAATTTAAAATATGGAAAAAATAATTTCAACACTAGAAGGATTAAGAGGCCAAGGAAATACGTTCAAAGATGAAGATGGATTTGTTTATTGGAAGAAATTGGACTGTAAATCGCATATGACTGTCAGATGTTCATTGTGGAAGACCGGGTAAATACCTACCTATGTTTTAACTTAATGAAATCTTGATTATTTCTAATTTTTTAATTAGTATTGTATTTGTATAACAGTATGGCATTCATTATAAAATGTAAACATTATGATATAGGTAGTCAAAATATTTTGACTCTTTTTGAGATATTTATCGTCAAGACATTTTCATTTTTTACATTTTTTTTTTTAATAAATGTAAATTAAATGTTTTTTGATGGGTGTAAAATACTAAAATGTAATACTATACAAGGTTCCTCAAGTTGTTATAATAGCAGCTAAAAAATATTAAAAATACATAAATATATATTTTTTACTAATTACGACCATGCTTTCAAATAATAATTATAGTAATTGTTGAAAAAAAAACAAAAAAAACAGCCTTATTTCTGAAATTTGTTAATTTTACAAAATCCTTTTCATATAGCTATATTTTCTTGTTTTAGGTGCAAAGCAAAAGGTAAAATATCAAAAAATGATAAAACAAAACTTGTGTTAACGGTTGGTCATGAAAACAATCATGTAAGAAACAATATTGTATCAAAATTCAGAAATATTTGTAACGAACGTTCCAAAAATGAACAGATTTCGCTTCGTATAATTTACAATGAGGTATTTATAATATTTAAAAATATATCTACATCATCTTCAAAATAAATATTAAATAATTTATTCTATATTATTAATATCTTAGACAAGTTCTATGCCTGAATTCATTAATATAAATGTTGGTCCATTTGTATCCCATCGGCGAACCATGCAAAGGCATAGGAAATCGAATCAACCTACATCACCAAAAACCATGACTGATTTCCATTACCAATTGATTGGAGACTATGTTCATCTTCCAGTGATGGATAATGTACCTATTTATATGGGAAAAATAGGCACTGACCCCGAAGAAGGGATAACAATGTTGTTTGTATTACCAGAAATTAAAAAGTAAATACTATGTACAATGTACTTAGAAAATGAATTATCTTGATAGGTATCTATGTAAATAAATTATAATAATTGTATAAAACCTATTTGTTTTCTTTTTCAGTATACTGAGGACTGGATCAACGTTTTTGATGGATGGTACATTTGCTGCTGCTCCATCATTTAACCGGGAGTGTCAACAGCTATATGTTATAATGGGTATAACATTTAACACCGTGAGTTATACCTAAAAATAATTATATTCATATATACAAATATTATAATGTGATATTCATTGCAGCTTACCTTAAACCAATAAAACCATTTCTAAGATTTTTTTCTTATTACTTATTCATAAATCTCATATCTAAGTATATAAAGGTATCAAACTGATTATACATTTTAAATTATAAAATGTTTGTATTTTAGGGATTCCCAATAGCATTTGCTTTGATGTCAAGAAAGACAGCGAGGGCTTACAGTGCTTTATTTAAACGGCTATTAGAAATTGAGCCACAGTGGACACCACAAACAATTATTGTAGATTTTGAGAGAGCTGCAATAGTGTCATTGAAAGAAATTTTCAATAATGTTACAATAAGGGGTTGTTGGTTCCATAGCTCTCAAGCTCTGTGGAGAAAAGTGGGAGAATTCGGTAAGCTTATAAATATTTTTGATAGTTCAATAAGTATATATTAAATAATCTTAAATGTATTACAGGAATGATAGAAATATGTTCCGGGCATCGAAATGCATATGACATAATACATATGCTAATGGCATTACCACTTTTGCCTGTGGATAAGGTGATGGAAGGCTTTCTTTCTATAAGACAATTTTACACAGAAAATGTTGAAAATAGTTTGCCAGTGGAAAGCTGTAGAATATTTCAAAGATATTTCCAGTATTACAAATCGACATGGCTCCAAGGTTTGTTAAACCTGAAAAATATTAGAAGATGTTATCGGGAATATGATGCATTACATTTTAACATTTTAGTTTCACTTAGCATAGTTGTAAAATTGTTTGTCAATTTTAATAACAAAGAAATTTGTTTAAGTAATTGAACAAATTTTTTTAAAACTAAATGTACATATTTATTTTAATTTATTTAGTTGTTAATAATTTAAATATGAATAGTAAAATACTGACACTGATTGATAAATATTGAATAATAATTACAGTGTATTTAAAAACATAATGTATACATTATACAGGACCAAATGCAGACATCTTGTCTGTCAACGGTGTTATTTGGCGGACAAACAACGTGTTGGAAACTAGCCATCAACACCTTCGCATGCACATGGGTAATATGCATCAACCAGAACCATGGGTGTTTTTAAGTAATTTATTTTTATAATTTTTACTAATTTACCTTGTACATACTGTTTTTAATAAAAACATTAAATGTTTGTTTTTTTTTTAAATTTTTTGTCTTCATAAATTTAAATTAATTATCACTATAAGGCACTGCAAATGTCTAACAAAAAAATATAATCTACCATAATAGGTTTTATAAAACATTTAAATTTTGCAGAAGGGTTAATTACATACTCAAGTGGTGTATTGGCTGATTACAATTTGGCAATTGATGGTATCCAGGTCAGGGAACCACAACGGCAAATCTGGATAGACCACCAGCGAAACCTCGATTTGGCTTCTAGGTTGTTAGCTGAAGGGCGTTACACAGTAACTGAATTTTTGGCATGTACTAAACATGTTACTCCAAATTTTGGAGTAGTCAGACCATTACATATTGCCCAACCACTTCCACTTCCTGAAATACAACCGGTCGTTGAGAATCGGCAACCAGTTAATGCCAGGGAATTTATTTTAGAAAGATGGCCTATTGTTGATGGGGAAATAAATAGTAAAATTTAATATACTCACTTTGATACAACTATAATAGTCCTAATATTCTTTTATTTTTAGTATTTCATCTTATTCATTGGCTGGACGATGAAGAAGAAGAAGAAGAAAATATACCACGTCCAGTATTACCGAATAATACATATATTAGTCTTGAAGACTTGACCAGTAAATAAATATTACACTAAAAATATATAATCATTAATCATGCATGCATAATACGCATTAATTAAAATTTATATACTTTAATTAATTATCATACTTTGAATTTTCAGTTGAACCAATTATATCTGAAAGCTGTTATATATGCCATTACTCAACGCCCACTGTCATAGCATTACCATGTAGACATCAAGGATTGTGTGCTCCTTGCCATCAAACATACATAATGATGCCACCATACAGAACAATACCATACTACAGATGCCCTTTATGTAGAGGAGAAATTACAACATATTTCATTATTGTTTGACAAATATAATAATATTCTAATATACAAATTTTTCATCTTATTTCACTTTTTCTGTTTTCAATATACTTACTTATAACTTATAATATATGATACAATTTAATGTAGGTACAATCAAATTATTCAAATCTTAGAGACTAGAGTTACCTACACTCAATATGGCAGACAAGATAAAGAAACTAAAAATAAGAATCTTACGTTTAAAGTACACCACTACTGTAAGGAAGCGGCTTTAGATATTTTAACAATAAAAGCATAAATATACTACTTAATATGTAGTTTGAATAAATTTAAACTTATAAAATTAGGTGCAGTTAGTTGTTACTTTTAAAATAAATAGTAGATAATATTATTAAACTACATATAGAACCTATAGTAGATAATACGTTTATACTGAAAATGTGAAAATGTAAATATTGTAAATACCTCATTACCTAGGACCTAAAGCTAAAGGTGGGCATGTAAATAAAATGAATAATATATGTAACCCAAGTCATGTTAGTAAACACAAGGTTGTTAAATTAGAAGTTATTAGTTAGCAAATAATAAATTTAACTCGCAGTCTAGTCTAAAGGTAATATGAACAAAATATTAACTTAAGTCTGTTTAAAAAAGGTTCTATCTACTTTTTTTTACTTTTTTACAGCAGGTGGCTCACATAAAGACTAAAGAGTATTTTGCTTCTTTCTATATACCTTATATAATATATTATTTTATCAAGAAACAGAAACTTCAAATAATAGCATTATATCAAGTATTACTATAATTAGTATTATTATAGTATTAGATTAATATTATTTTATGTATAAAACCATTAAAAATATTTTTAACTTTAAAAAGCTAAGTTATTTCAACTTGTTAATTAAACTAGTTAAGTTAAAAAGTTAATTAAAAAATAATTAACTAGTTAAGTAAAAAATAGGTAAACTAAATATTTAGCTTTTTTTCTAGTTAATGCCTACCTTAGCTAAACTGCTAAATAGTCAATAACTCATAGTAATCATATATAGATATAACACCGAGATAAACAATATAGTAGGTAGTAGGTATTTACAGTATAGAGTATACTTACTATAATAGACCATAGTATAAGGAATAATAGTATTCCATAGACTATGCCACTACGGTCTACAGTCAACGATCATAAACGACAAAAACATTGTATGATCTTAAGATGTTGATGAATGATGACAGCTGATGGCGACGATTTTACGATATAATTTATAAACAATAGTTATAAGTTAAAATAATAGCCGTGGATAATGTACATATTTTGTACTGTGAAAAATATGTAATAAGGGCCACACAATTATAAATTATAATCATAGTATCATAATGGCATAATAGGTAGGTAATAAATAATAATATTATATTATTATTACATATTATCTACTTAGTACATACATCAATATACCTACTTTACTAATATAATTGTTTTTATAATTGTTTGTGTTTTGTGTAATATAACTATATAAGTACTAAGTAGGTACCAAGTAGATAGGTAGGTACCTAATACCTATAATATATTATTATCTAATGTGCGTCAGATTGCGTCTATAAATGTTAAAATGTCTATATTTCCATAATAAAATGTAAAAAAGGTACTTAGATCACAACACTGTTCGACTGTTCTATAAAACAAAATAGTTTAGTTCCTACTTGGCTACTTACTATGCATTATGCAATACAATAAGTACAAATCATAAACCCATTACAATTTAAAATTGGTAAAACGACTTAATTTATAAATAAAAATAATAATCCTAATTAGTAATTAAAATTAAAATTAATTTATAAACTCGCTGTGGTCGTTTTAATCCCCCGTCAATTAGATCCTATTGCGTCAGTTAGTCACCGAGATCTAGCTGTCGAGGGATCTATGTGACCGTTCACCGTCTATAGGCGTCATGTTTTCACATATTATCACTTGATAGTTGTTATCATTAATACTATCACTGTTTGTTAACTTATCGCGTCTTTCTTGGACATAATAACAATCGCACGTTTTTTTTCGAAATCCGATCGTGATAATTCAACGTTTACTGTCAACGTTATATTTTTTTCGAAGTTATTCAACTCTGTCGGCTGTCATTAGAACAACCCATAAGCATAGGTTCATAGCAAGAACTGAAACAAAAAATAAAAATGGTTGAAGTGCTCCGGGACAAAGAATTTCTAGTCAAAGAATACTTGGAGACCCGTGGATTATACAGTCATCATATTAACTCTTTCAACGCATTTATTGATAGTGACCTGAAGAAAATCATTCAGCAAAACCATGCCGTACGGAGCGATGCTGACCCCAACTTCTATTTGCATTTTAAAAATGTTACCGTTGGCCATCCACAGGTATGATAATGTCATTTAGTTCCCATGCTATACATATAATTTATTTTATGAATAGAATATTGACACTCGTGTAATATACTCTTATATATGTTATATTTTTATTTTATTTTACTACGAGAAATTACTTGTGACTGGAGTTATTAAGATCAACAACATATTATAACGATCGTACAATACTATGATAACTAAATAGCCTAGGTATTATACTTGTATATATCTGGTAAATTACAGGTTAATATACACCAAGACCCATAATAACTTACTTTAAGATATCAAATTATTTTAGTCTGCATTGTGTCCTTTCATCTTCGTGTGTTAAACAATAGATTTGTTAGACCTCCAACTAAAAGACGAATGGTGGCAGTTCATTAAAACACAACACAAAAATGTATTTGATGTTTTCTGTGATGACGTAAACTCAGCATAACAATATATATAACTTATTAAAATACTCGACAATGATGATCGTTAGCAAAAAATACATTAGGTACATTTTAGTTTTATATATTGTTATTAACCAGTGTGTAAAAATGGTAAACATCCGTAAACTTTTTTGGTAGGTAAAAAGCATATTACAGTATATACCAACGAAGTAGAGGTAGGTAGCTACTACAGGAGTATCATAATATTGAATAATCATCATAAAATAATTGAATGGTAAAATATAAGAATATCATTGCCATTATATTATTTAATATATTCATTATTCTTTTTGTTACCTATCTAATTTAAAGGATATTCTTTCAATTATTTTCCTTACGAATTGTGATGTTTTTAATTTTAAACCAATATTTTTTATAAATGATATAAGTATTCACATATTGAACTATATTGCTAATTAATTGATACTTGCTTTATTTATTCTTAAAGGAGTTTTTAAATTTAATTTTTAAGCTTGAATTAAAAAAAGAAAATTGGTTGGAGATAGAAGATTTTCTTTTCCTATTACCTTTATGACCTATGTACATACTATATGTATAGGTATATGTATTAGTATGTCACATTTATATTATGTAGGTACATTTTATATTCAAATGTATTGATCCATTATTTAGTAATAATGAGACGTGCATTTTGACAGCCAAGTTACTGTCTTTGCCCTTTATATAATATGATATTGTATTTTACAATAATATTGGTATTGTATTCAGTATTGTTTGATTAAATTACATCTAATATTTCTGTATACAAAAATATGGAAATTATTTAGAATTTTTGTTTTTGTTTTCTGTTAGGTATTTGTTTTAATTTTGGATTGCAATATAAGAGGATACCCATAATCATGCATGTTATCTGTATATTTTTTAATTTTAAAAAGCTCATTACTTGCTTTAAAATTAATATATCTAAAAAATTCTATCAAGTATAATATATAACAACTAACAAGTATACAACAACTTAGTTAAATAGATAGTTATAAACCTAAAATTTGTTAAGTCTTGTATATTTTGTAGGACAGAGACTGTACATGTAAGTAAATAGATACAACACCTTGTTAAATGTAATCCTTAATTTTAGATAGTCTAATCTAATTGTAGACTTCACAGTATGGTATGCAATTCTAAGAAATGCTTAAATTAAAAATATCTGAAATTGGTTATAGTAAGTTGATCACTAATTAGTATTTAATAACCATTCTTAACCATAAGTTCATTAGTTCATAGAAAAAACTTAGGGTATATTATTTATAGTAAAAATTAAGAGTCTAAATGCCTAAGATCATTTCAAAATATAAATATTCCAATCAACTTTAATATTATTAATTTAATATGCATTCTATAACTTATTTTTAGCGTTCATAAAACTTTAATTCAAGGTTTAACTATAAAAATTTTTCAATATATTTCATTATGCCTAAAATAAATGCTAATTTTTTTTATAAATCATTAAAACTACCATTTCGTTTCTTTTTTTTTCTGTATATTTTAGGGATTTAAATGTATTTTTTGATTTTTGGATATGTTTTATGAATTTTAATTCTGCTCTATTTAAAAAAATAAATAATAATATAATAAATTGAAACTGTCAACTTATTGTTTTTAAACATGACACTTTTGAAATATTCTTGTACTGAATGTTTATAACATTATTATAAAAAACGCATAAAAATAAATGTATTATATGAATTAATGATGGTTTAATTTTCAGGTAGATGATGGCTTTAACGTTACACGAAATGTTACACCACAAGAATGCCGTCTACGGGATCTAACATATTGTGCTCCTATATATGTTGATATTGAATATGTTAAAAGTGGCATGAAATATCTTCGAAAAGGATTCATTATTGGCCGTCTGCCTATAATGTTAAGAAGTAATCGGTGTTGTCTTTACCAGAAATCAGATGCAGAGTTGGCAAAAATGAAAGAATGTATCTATGACTCGGGTGGTTATTTTATAGTGAAAGGAACTGAAAAAGTAATATTAATGCAGGAACAACCTGCAAAAAACAAAATATTGGTTGAAAAAGATTCTAACGGAGTGCCTACTGTTCAAGTAATGAGTAGTACTGTTGACAAAAAGTCTAAGACTAATATTATTTTTAAGAAAAATTTGATTTATGTTTGTCATAACGCACTTGAGGAGAATATACCTTTTGTTATTTTTATGAAAGCTCTTGGTGTCTGTTCAGATCAGTTAATACTACAAATGGTTGGCACAGAGTTTGCTATTATGAATCAAATGTACCCATGCTTTTTAGAAGGTAGCAAGTTAAATATCTATACTCAGAAACAAGCTCTTCGATTTATTGGAGATCGTATAAAAAAAATGGGGTTTTCCTCTGAAGATTATGATAGTAGAGTTATTACTGAGGTCCATGATTTTTTATCTACTGTAATTTTGGCTCATATACCTGTGACTAATACTAATTATCATATGAAAGCTATATATACTTCAATCATGGTAAGACGACTAATTTTTTCATTGTCCAATCCAGATTTATTTGATAGTAAAGATTATTATGGTAATAAGTGTTTAGATTTACCTGGATCATTTTTATCATTACTTTTTGATGACACCTTTAAACGTTTCACTTTTGAGCTCAAATCTGTTGCTGACAAGAATATACCAAAAGTAAAAGCCACTCCATTTGATATAATCAAATACATTAGAACTGATACAATTACAAACGCATTGGTGTTCGCCATTCAAACTGGAAATTGGTCTATTAAGAGATTTCGTATGGAAAGACATGGTGTTACTCAGGTTTTAACTAGATTGTCATACCTATCAGCTATAGGTATGATGACTAGAGTTAATTCACAGTTCGAAAAAAGTAGAAAAGTATCAGGACCTCGTTCATTACAGCCTTCGCAGTTTGGAATGTTGTGCCCTTCAGATACTCCTGAAGGAGAAGCTTGTGGACTCATAAAAAATATTTCACTTTTAGCTCATGTGACGACTGAATCTGAAGATGATGATGCAGTATTACAATTAGCTCTCAATTTAGGAGTTGAACCAGTAGGTTTATATTCAGTAAATGATTTACATGAAGATTATATGTATTTAATAATATTTAATGGAAACATAATTGGTTCCACTAACAAATGCATTGACTTTGTTGAAAAATTTCGAAGGTGTAGGCGGAAAGGTATATTCAGTAAGTTTATTTCCATTTACATATCAGAACGGCACAAGTGTATTTACATCAACTCTGGTGATGGTCGACTATGTAGACCATATTTAGTTGTAGAAAATGGTCAGCCATTACTAACTAATGCTCATATTGATGATTTAAAAAGAGGATATTGCACATTTCAAGATTTTATAGATCAATCTCTTATTGAATTTATTGATGTCGATGAAGAAAATAATTGTTTAATAGCATATAATGAAGAAAAGATTGTTTCTGAAACTACTCATATGGAAATGGCGCCTTTTAGCATATTGGGTATATGTGCTAGTGTTATACCATTTCCACATCATAACCAATCACCTCGTAATACCTATCAATGTGCTATGGGTAAACAAGCAATAGGTACTATAGCCTTAAACTACCAACATAGAATAGATACACTTCAATACAATTTGTGGTACACACACATACCTATGGTTCATTCTAAAGCAGTACCAATGATCAATTATGATAAGTTGCCAGCTGGTCAAAATGCCACTATTGCTGTTATGAGTTATTCTGGCTATGATATTGAAGATGCTATCATATTGAATAAGGCTAGTGTTGATAGAGGTTTTGGAAGAGGCGGAACATATAGGAATTCCAAATGTTTTTTAAGACATTATCCAAATCAAATGATGGATTCTATACAGGGACCTATCATCGATAATGCTACAAAAAAACCAATTTATAAACATAGGGCATTAGAAAATGATGGTATAGCAGCTATTGGCCAACCAGTATTTGATAAGCAAGTCACAATCAATAAGGCAACGCCAAAAACTATAACTGTAGAAGATGTAGGTGGCGATAGAGGCTTTAAAGAAACGCCCTTATATTACAAAGGATACGATCCATCATATATTGACAAAGTAATGATAACATCAAATAGTGATTGTTTTTTAATCAAAGAAAACTTTAGACAACCAAGACGTCCTGAAATTGGTGACAAGTTTAGTAGTAGACATGGTCAAAAAGGAGTGGTTGGTTTGATTGTAGACCAAGAGGATATGCCTTTCAATGAAGTTGGAATATGCCCAGATTTGATTATGAACCCTCATGGTTTTCCATCACGTATGACAGTTGGTAAACTTATTGAACTTTTAGCCGGTAAAGCTGGAGTATTAGAAGGCAAATTTCAAGACGGCAGTGCTTTTGGCGGTGCAACTGTCACCGATATTAGTAATGAGTTGCAGAAACATAATTATAATTATCTGGGAAAAGATGTACTATACTGTGGCATTGATGGTAGACCAATGGAAGCTTACATCTACTCAGGTCCAGTTTTCTATCAACGATTGAAACACATGGTGGCTGATAAGATACATGCTCGATCCAGAGGACCTAGAGTGCTACTGACCAGGCAGCCAACAGAAGGTAGATCCAAAGATGGTGGACTCCGGATGGGAGAAATGGAGAGAGACTGTCTTATTGCGTATGGTGCTAGTATGCTGATTATTGAAAGATTAATGTTGAGTAGTGATGTGGTAGAAATGGATGTATGCAAATTATGTGGTTTATTTTCGTATTCTGGTTGGTGTCACATGTGCCAAAAAAGTAATTCAGTGTGCCGAATAAAAATGCCTTATGCATGCAAATTACTATTTCAAGAACTGCAAGCAATGAGTATAGTACCCAAGATATCATTAAAGAAATATTGTGACTGAAAAATATTTGTATTAAGAATTTTCTATGTTTTTTATGTGTATTTATATTTAATAAAATAATTTGTTGTTATTAATAATCAGGACTTATTATAACATGGATTTTACAAAACAACACAATTTTTGTCAAATAAAATTCAAAGTTGAGTGTTCATTGTTGAATTTATGATTAATTTATACAATTAATATCAATTTATATTGTTCATTTATTATTTATTGATAATATTTTCTTATCATAATAATATGTTTTAATTTATTGAGAAAATATTGTATAAATAAAATTATTTCCAGTATTTATGTATACATTTATATTTATTTTATTTTTAAATATTTTTATTGTATGAAAGTGTGTCCATAGGTGTGTGTAAAAATAATCAAGTGAATTAGATTAATCTTAACAAAGTTTTATTTTGCACAAAATTACACATTTTAAGATTTTAGAATTAAAATCTACATTTTCAGTTTTATTTCATCCAACCATGCACACAATTTCAATATAGTTTATCATAAGATAAATAAATATGGTGGGGAGTCAAAATTATTAACTATACTTACTATAAATGGCTTTATTTAAAAACTAAATTTTAAAAGTACCTACTTATCTTTATACATTAATTAACAAGTTATTGAGACTGCCTGAACAATATACACGTGCCTAAATCTCTTAAACTGACTACTACAGTGCCTACCTATATAGTGTGTACATAAATAATAGTGCAAAGTGCTTAAATTATCGAATATAAATTGAAAAAAAAATACGTAAGAACTTTAAAAATAATAGTAGTCAAAGCTGTTGCGCACCTAACCGATGAATGATATTATGGCGATATATTTATTGTATGTGTCGAGCTTGCAGCGATCGCCGTGTCTTTTAAGATTGCGATATTATTTTATTGATCCAGTCTGTGAACTTTGATATCCTCATGTACACGCCAGGGCTATTTGGTTCGCCACATCGCATGCCCCATGCTATGATACCGGCCACCACCCAGCGATTGTCGCGTCGCTGTACAACCATAGGCCCGCCCGAGTCACCCTATACAAGAGCAACAGATATTTAATTTACAGTTGGAACAGCACAGGTGTGAACAAAACAAGTTTCATGTTATAGTATATACCTATATTACACATTTACACTTACTTTGCACGCATCGTAACCTCCGTCTTTCAAACCCGCACAGATAAATGTGTCCGGTATTTTCTTAACATACCCAGCCGCACGGAACATAGTTTCGCAAACGGAATTGTTGATAATGGGAACTGTTACTTCTTGTAGCACATCAGGCGAGAGTCCACCTATAGATGGAGAACAATAATAGTTGACACAAAACAACCAGCATTTTTGTAAATATTTAACACTATATTATGTCTCTTGTACATGTAGGTATACTCAATATGTGTGTGGCATTTTTAGCTAGTAGTTAAACAACAAAAAATAACGTCCAGAACATTTATTTTTTATTTTTACTGATGCTTTTGAAAAATTCTAAGAATTTTCTATTTTTATCTCTCGAATGCACCAACTCAGTTTTCACACCAGAAAAAATATTTAAGTTGCATTATTTCGACTTCTTTTTGTGTACAAACACAAACACATGACACATTGTAAAATCAATACATTAATCGCTTCGCTCAGAATCTAAAACATATTTTATGAACGAAGAACATGGATGACGGATTAGCCTCGATGTCTATAATGAATAATGACAGGTAATATTCATTACATTATACTTACAATATTATTAGCAATATCTCAGCATATTAGATTGAATTAGATTTGACAAAATATTCCACTTAGTATAGAAAATGATAATATAATAAATGGAGAAAAGTTTCAAGTTCACAATATTATTATTTTCCTAACTTATTATAGCAACATTTTTTTACATTATATTTAAATTTTTATATTAAGTCTGAAAGTCTTTTTCGAAATATAGACGTATAAATAATATACAACAAGGATTATCCATGAGTACCTAGGTCACCTGTTGATAGGGCAGGTGATATTCTCATATTTCCCTCGGAAGAAATTGAAGTAAAATCATAATTTATAAGACAGCAGGTACCTAGGTACTTAATTGTTCACAATGTTCACATATTAGCATTAGTATGTACGTATACGAATTTACGATTGTGTATAAATACGAAATACCTGTAGAAACTGATTTGTTACACTGCTGGATACAAAATTAAATATAACCTTAACAAATCTAACTTTTGAACTCATATCATGCATTTGCTTGCATATAATACTGTCTAATAAGGCACGCCGACTATATATTTTATTGCTATTTCAATTTTTACCATAGTACAAAGTCCCCCATCCAGTGATGTGAGCAGATAATCCTTCAAAATTTGAATCGTCCTCTGGAATGCAAACAGGTAAAATGTTCGGTTGGAATTTGACAGGTTCGTCAAATCGCAACAGTGCCAAGTCGTGTTCCATAGCATGAGTATTGTACTTTGGATGTATAATGACTGTTTGCAATTTCCTAATTTGGAAACCATAGGGTTCATCTTTTACTGAAAAATCGTTTTTACCGAGGAGGAGATGTATGTCATTCATTGAAATGCTAAAAAAAATTCAATACAATCATTATAATAAGTTATAGGTTAAGTGCAGAACAAGTGCTAATTTTTCTTTGCCATCCGCCCTGTCGGGGAGTATAAAAGGGCACTTTGCCACGGAGAGTGGGCACATCAGGTTACCTAGTATAGTAGTATGATTATAGGTCGCCTGAATATTAATTAATATAATTATTATGGGTCCCGTGCAACGCCAGGTAAGTAATGCAGCTAGTTAAATATAAATTAATTGAATGTTCAATAAGGTATGAATTGGAAAAAATGTATTTTTTTATGATAATAAAATAATCTTGGATCCTTATAAATTATATTGATTAAGTAACAATTATATTTAAATTTATCAAAATTGATATAACAAACTAAAACAATTATAAACTCAAATAAAATATCCTTATAAAAAGTCCTACCCGGAAGAAGTATCGCTCCCTAACGAATAAACAGGAATAAGTAGGTAGGTACACCAATTTAGTAGTATGAAATATAACCGATGAGGCGATAAAACTATATAATATATTTACTTTTTAACACAATGAGCAGTAGTTATAGCCCAGTTTTCATTGAATAATACCGCCCCACATTTGTGTATGTACTTCTTTTTATGTCTTAATGAAATCTTGTATAAAAAAAAAATTGTATTAGCTAGGTATAAATCTATAATATCGAAATAATTAAATTTCAAACTTGTAAATTGGTAAACTTACCTGCCACGGCCACTCCCCGAAAGAAACTTTATCGCCTCCTACTATTCTAGGGATTGGGATAAGTTGCCTTCCGCACACTATTTTTTTTTATGAAAACAAAGAATTCATTAATTAATAATATTCTTAAATATTAATACTTGAATAATAATACGTCTTAGGGCCGGTTGTACCGTCTATGGTTACACTTCGATTACGCTTGATCAGCTGATAACAGATTTTATAACCGGCCAAATTCGGCCGATTAAACTTTAATCGGAGATGGTAAAACTGGCCCTTAATTTTGACTGACCATCTTTGTAGTTGGACATATTAAACGCAGCATATTCTGTATTGGTGAAATCGGTTGTGGTCGTCAAAATAATCTCCGAATTGTATATATGAGTTAGATTTTCTGTAAACGATCCTCCTGAAGTATTGTTTATGTTTATAGTAACACTGTACAGAGAAGAAATATTCAAGCCATTGATGACCGATATGTTGTGCGTCACTAAAACTGAAAAAATAATTTTATACCAATGAAACGTGATGCGATTCCTATTACCTACACGCATATGCCTGCAGTTTTATAAAACGAGCACAATGTAGTTTATTTTTTATTGTTTTACGTCTTGTCTAATAAAATTAAAAAATAAATATGTCCAATAAGTTAAAAATTTAAGCTAACGATAGAATAACAATAGGCTTTTATAAATGTATTGAAAAACGTAAAAAGTTTGTTTACAATAATCTCATAAACATAAATTAAATAGGTAGGTATTCAAAAAATATTTTCACAAAGATTTAGTAAAATAGGGACACCAAACTTGCACAGGCTACGAACACCGTAGCCTTAAATAAAATACTGTAAAGTCGGTCTACAACATTATATATAGTGTATCGTTGTAAATAATATACATTTTATGTCATATTACGGTATGAAGTTTTACCTTCTATGTCTCTGGGCGCAACAAAGGTAATATTTTCAACGGCTTTGACGGGATCTAATATCGATATTGTCGTTGAAGAAGAATCTACATCAGTGCTATTCTGTTCTGATAGTGGGCTAGAAGCATTGTTGGATACGTGTATTTCGACCGGAAGTATGAACCATGAAGGAATAAGTGTCGAACCATCGACACCAGGTGGCTTGAGCGTAACTAAAACAGGAATAACATAATATATTAATATTATATAATATATCAGTCAATTATATTATTAAAACGTGAAGCAATTCTAGATCAAGGTTTTGACTTGCCTCCTTCGTTGTTTGACATATTATGAGGGCCATTTTCGATATCAATGGAGTCGGTTGTGGTCAACATCATCGTCGAAGGGCTTACATAAGTACTTTTTTCGTCCGGTGGTGCACCAGTAGGGTTAGATACGTGTGTTTTGACCGGAAGTGTAATCAAAGAAGGAGTAAGTGTCAAACCATCGACGCCTGGTGGATTGTGCGTCACTAAAACTGGAATAACATAATCATCTATATATTGAGCGATGGTAAACGATAATAATTTGAACAAATCTAGTTTTATATGCAATGAGTTATGAATATTTTCGTATAAGTGACAAATTGACTATGTGATTTCCCTACAATTTTACATGGCACATTTTGATTTTTTGTTTCCGTTAAACGTCTTGTGCTTATATTCTGTGGAAGAAATGAAAACAGAGCCAGAATATATAAACATGCCTTATTTGGTTCATTATTATCGGCCCTAATTGTCATTAATCGTCACTATTAAATCATTTAGAAAAGTATACGTGGGTTGTGGTCTTGTGGATATTGGCCCAGAGTCAAAAATTCGACGTCTGACTGCCGACTGGTATAGAACATCGCATAAGGATTGTACCTATTTATTTCTAAAACTTGTTTATGAATATTTAGATCGTTTTTCAAGTTACCTTTATTAAAACCATTAATAATTATAAACAATGAGTCACCGAGATAAGAAACAAAAATGAAGTCGAAGCACACAAATACTACCTATATATATATCGTCATTTAATAGGTTCATTAATCGTATTTATTTAATCATTTGGAATAGGTACTATTATACGAGGAACCCCATTAGAAATTCGTGGCTATGCGCCTGATACCTACTGCAGAAGAGTCAAAATGTATGGAGGGTATATGAGCAATGAGCATCTACTGTTATGCTTTTATACCATTTTTTGATGTGTTCGTATATTACAATAACTAATTCAAATATTTGACAAAGACTGAAGATATTCCAATATACCAAACAATTCAGTCGAACGTCTGAACCATAAAATATCTAGTATCTACAACACTGAACACACTACGGTTTACAATTTATCAAAGCCAACAGTCTCATCAAATGTTCTACATTTTTTAAAGTTTCTTTTTAAGTTTAAAATATCATAAGTTACCAATTAACTCCCACAATTTCCTACCAATGACTTTTAAAGTCAAGGTTAATTGAAAAAAAAAATAACATAACAAGTGCTACGTACGTTGTATAGTTGTATATACACAAGTAATATAGGTATAATTACCCATCGTCGTAAATTAAAAATGTAAATCGGAGGTGCGCAACAGTCGATTAGTATACTTATTGGTATTATTAAATCTGACTTTTTTAATCATCTCCAAAACTATAAAAAATGGTTACTACGGCCATGGCGAGTTTAAAATCCATTATACGAAATAATCAGGTTTTAATTGTTGTTTTCTATTATACGTCTGCCTAAATTTATGGTTTATACATTTCAGACCACCCATCGCGGGGGCAGTAGTGTGGAGAAATAGTTCCAAAATCCGAGGTAGGCAAATGGGCCATAGCCCTCCTCGGAATTTTTAACTGAGTGTACTTTCATCACACCATCTACTATTTCATAATATTATACTACGCAATAATGTGAGTTATATGTTATATGTGTGTTTTATTTTTTATCTACCTACCCGAAAACACATTAACGTGTCATACATCTTAACATTAATTGACATAGGTAGTACACCCGCACGTCTGTATACTTTTTTAACGAGTAATAGGTACTTTTATAACAATGATTAAACTCATGCATTAGTCAATGTTACAGGACTACAGTGTTCAGTTTAAGACAAAGTCAATCAAAATCAATTAACTATGTACAAAAAACAACTCATAAATCGTAGTAATAGTAAAAAAAAATTTAAATATAAATATGACCTCATCTATACATAATTCACAGTGTTATAAGTAATAACTAATAATATTTTCATTATAATATAATTAATATATTATATTTTTTTATAGGTACACTCCACTCCGTAATTATTAATTAGTAATTACTAATTAGGAGTAGAGTATACATGTGTTCACATTTATATTTAATATTTTTGGGGAGCTTTTTTCCGTGGTGTGTTTATTTTTTTGTGTTTTTTTCCGTTGGATTTTTTTTTCCGATTCATTGGTTTTACCATTTACAATGATGAATATTCATATTAAAGTTTTCAAACACAAAAATATGAAAAAAACATAATATGCACAACTTTTTTTACGGACATTCCAACGAAATATGCATATACAAACGATAAAATTCAATTTTAGTTATTTGTTGACTCCTTCTTACACACGTATGACATCGCGAATTTTCGTTTACTAGTTTCAATACTGTGCCTTTAAGTTTGATATTAGAGTGAATTGACCTAAATCAAACTTTTAGGTAAGAACTTTATCTGTGCTTAAACGTCTGCGATTTTTTCGATATTTTAATTTCCAAACAAGATATAAGTATGTATGCGGAATATCACAAAATATTGATGTTCATATCTTAAACAAAGATAATGTGTTTATCTAAAAGTTTAATTTGAGGTCTATTCACTCTAATAGCAAAACTAACAGTACAATACTAAAACTAGTGAACAACAATTTGTTATGTCTTATGTTTGTCCTTTTAACTTTAAACGTGAAAAACCAATTATCAAAAAAACAAATATTATACAGTGGTGTACTACATATCCAGTGATTTAATATAATATATCTGATGATGATCAATATTGAATATTCTAATGGGTAACAACTAACAGCTAGTGTTTAAATATTAATATTATATCAGATCAAGATTTTAGTTACCATCTTCGTAGTTTGACATATTGAGATGAGAATCTTTTTCAGCTTCAATGGGATTCATAGTTGTCAAAGAGTAAACATCAGTTCTTCTTTCTTTTGGTGGTAGAATAGAAGTGTTGAGCTCTTGTATTTCAACTGGAATAGTTTTAACATCGACGATAACTAAAACAGATATAACAAAATATTTATATTACAACACATTTTTAAATACGACTTTGTTAAACCTACTACTTAGTATGAAAAGTATCATCATGAGATATCCCATAGTAGCAGCTAAGGTCATTATAACTATCAAATATTTTTTGAATCAGACTTATGACATAAAAATACTGTAAGGAATTAGTGAACAGCTAGGAGCTATATAAAAAAAAACTGTGTATAAATATAAATGAACGGCGCCGAGAGTCTCGATCCTTGAGTGTCTCGAACGAAACAGAACGACCTTCTGAGTTCTGGTACTGTCGTGCTTAGCCCATTAGCCGTCTCACGGGTTTGAGTGTTCTGTGTTTCACCAGTGACCACCAGTGTAGCCACCATGAAGAGACTAATTTGTTACCTATAACTTATAAGCTTAGGTATACTTAACATTATGATATTAACATTTTAAGTACTTACCTAGTTTTGTAATATTATAACGACCCTGGGCCTAATTAACCATTTATTATACCTACACATATGTAAGAACACGCAGTGGTGCTAACCAATGAACAAAATATTAATAGCCGAGTCAATTTTGTAAAGGGACGTACCCAAGGAGGGGTCCACGGGGTCTAGATCTCCCCAAATATTAACCAGTGGTTAATAAACCTATATAAGAACCAAATCACATAATAATCGCGTTCGCGTAGGTAAACGAGAAATTACCCGATTAAATAAAATAATAATTACACCCCCCCCCCCCCCCCCCAAAAAAAAAAAAAAAAATCCTGGGTACGTGGGTACGTCCCTATCATTGGCCGCATCCGTGTGGGAAGAGATGCTCGTAATTGGATAAGTCATGAGCGATGACTAAAATGTTGTATTTCTGACGATCAAAGAGATCCCAAATTATTAATGTAATGTGTACCATAATATACATTTGGTAAAAAGTCTATTCGTAAAGAGTGGAGAAATCCAGGGATACTAGCTAATCTCTGATGGATTGAACAGTCCAGGCACATCTCTCCACGGACGTGAGAACATGCAATATATTAGACATGCATGACGCATGCCAAGCCTGATTGACTGAAAAATAGGCAACACCTACTGAATACAGCAATTATTCATTGTAATGATATACTTATGTGATTGTTCGTTCATTTGTTGCTTAAACCGTGTTGGTAGTAACGAAGCCAAAAATACATCCATGTAAGGCTGGATTACCCTTAAGGCCTTAACTATAATATAAGCCCTCCTACTTCCTAGTGGTTACAAGTTCCTAAAGAGTACTTACGAGTCACGAGTTACCACCAAAGACTGAAGCTATAATACTCGTAATAATGAAATTATTTAAGTTTTTTTTTATCACAAACAATTTTTTTATAAGATTTTTTCAATACGTGAGTAGGTTCCATACACTTACAATCTAATTGGCATTGTTACCGCTGAACCCTTTTATGCAATGACTTATGGTTATGAGCTATGATGGACTGATGTCTGACTGGACTATCGGATTATATTATAATTTATAGGTATCTATTATCTTATGTAGGTAATGTTTCTTTAAATTCATAACTTATAGGTACCTATACAAATTATTTCTGCAAACAATATTTAGCGACGGTATAATATAACTACGATTAGTATGATTATTATAAATTTATAAATATATGGTCGAGATATTGTTTACTGTTTTTAATTTAAGTATAAACTTAAATCGATAAAATTGTATTACACTTGCTTCCAGAAGATAATAATAATATGCTAATATGATTTTTATTAAATTTATAACTTACCTTATTAAATACATTTCAAACGCATAACTAGATCTTCGTGGCCGAGGACTATACCAATATAGAGCAATATTCGGTCCTGAAGAGGACAATATGAGTTCAGAAACGTACTCGAAATGGACTAGAATGCACCGCAACGGCGTTCCGGTTCGTAGTATTAGCTTTTTTGTCCATTCTAGTTGGTTAAAATTAGAATTGAAGAGTCCCGGATCGTACAAATATTAAGTAAATATTGGGAAAAAATAAAGAAAATCGTCAATAGGTAAGATGTTTCCGACAGTATCACAGTTAAGGGGCTTAACATGTTAACATTTCCATTTGACAAATAATATAATAGAAGCAGGACAGTAGTAAAAACCAATAGCTGCCTTAGAAAAAACTGACTTTACGCCCATAACATAGAATTTTTTCTACTACCATAAAATGCTTATTAAAAAAAAAAACTTTTCGTTGTTTGTAGTATAAGTTTATCTTTATTTTATTATGAAGTATGAAAAGCGGGTAAGTGGATGTTGCTCTGCTGCACAGTTCTTTACAAGTAGGTCACTGTAATGGAAGATGTTAAATTTGAATTCAATGATTCAAAATCATTGTATATAAAAAACGATTCTGAGCAAAGAAGACCATCTTACCAACCTATAATATTACTTAGTATATTTGAATTTGATGATGATATTATTCTGATTAAAGTAAATTATTTAACAATTAGGCATTAATACCACAATAGGTTAAATTTATTTTTGCCAAAAAAATTTTAATTAAATTCATTGTGACGTGTATAAAATATAATAATAATATACTCTTAAACTTATAATTACATATACAAATAATATTTTAAATTACAACAAAATAACTTAAATCATTATTCTTGAATATTTAATATGTAATTTTGTCCAAATTTGAACATAAAGTAACTATAAAAAAACTGTGTTCACATATTATTTCGACTTTTTGATTACAGAATAACTTACTTACATAGAACCTAATTTTAAATTTTCAATCCTTAACGATAAAAATTGAACATTTTGTACATTTTGATTCAATTTGATATATTTTGTCAAAATTTGAACTTTAAATTTCTATAAAAACATCTTACATAATGATTATTAATATTTTTTAAATGCTGTAGTAACAATATAACAGGAACTCTATATTAAATTTGCAAGCTTTTTAGCTCAACAATAAAATGTTATTGACATTTAAGGAAAAAAAAACTGAAAAAAATTCAAAATTCAAAATGTTTTCAAGTATAGGAAGCAATAAAACAAATATTTTGTGTAAAGTTTAAGAATTTATGGTAATTCGTTTTTTAATAACAACACAAAGGTTGGGTAGGTTAGGTAATAGGTAAACGTATACGAATAGAATTAACTATGACATATTAATCCATGTACTTACATATAAGTTGTCTTATAATAATATTAAATTTTTCACTTCTTCAGACCTCAATGAGTTTTGATTAACAAAACGAGGGCAAATGATAAAACTTTCATTTCGTAATTCTTAGATTAGTATAAGTAAAACATTATTACAGATACCTATCGTTTTCATTTTATTTTTGTATTCTCCTATTGTCCATGTGTTATCAACATGACAATATAATAAGGAGCATGTTAGTTCGGTAGATAATGATGAAAAAAAATATTAATGTATATTTGATTTTAAATATAAATATAAATCAGTAGATATTTTTGCTTATTCCTAGCTACGGCCCTGAATTGAAGTGCAAATGTGTAATAAACTTTGCCAGCCAACACGCAAAAATCAGAAAATATCTATAAATAGCTCAAAACATTAAAGTTATTTTGAAACTTTTATCTTGTACAAAATATTCATATATGCGCAATATAAACATTAAATCTAACTTTTAGTAAAAATGGCAAGTATCTTAAACATGATTTGTTTTAGTTACCACACTAAAATAACAAAATCAATTTTTTCAAATACTTTTTTTACATAAAAATTCTAGTGTTCCCATAATTTTTATTTGTATGACTCCCTAACGTACCAACTAGATCTAATTTACTACCATAAATCACTTCCAAAGTTGTTGGATGACAGAATAAAAATACACAACAAAGCAAAATCTATACAATTGTCGCTTGGAGCTAAATCTTAAACTGCCATATAAAAAATGAAGTGTGAAGTATATACCTAATGAAAATATAAATCTTATATATAATTAATATTGAAGTTCAGGGGTATAAGAATTACTCAAATGTTTGAAGACTTATAATACTGCTCTATATCATAAGCTTCATCCTGTTCCTCTTTTTTGAAGATCTTGAAAAAATCAAGATTTTAAAAATATAAATGTTTCTATTATTGAAACAAAAAATTTTTGATTATTTAGATTTCATTTATTTAGTATGGTGCTTACGAATTACAGAAAACAGTTACTACATTATTATAATGCAGTTCAATTTTAATCACTGGTCCATAAAAGAGTGAAAATTCTGCTCTATTAGGATAAAATATAAATTTTTTACCTAATGTTAAATGGATGTATTGGAAAAATGGTTAATGATCAAATTGTAAAACAAAAATTTTTTCAATGATTTATTCTGGTTATCCCAAACATAAATTCCATTAATAAATTAATATAATAAAAATATATATGACAAATATAACTCTCATTCCTAAAAATATTGCAACAGTTGCATAATATATGTTTATAATATGTTAAAATATATCTAAAATAACAATACATATTAAAATACAGTGTCAGACAACCAGCAAAAAATAATATGATAACGTTTCAATAATTTCAATCTAATAAATAATAAATATTTTTAACAATAATGAAAAATAGTTAAATGGCCATTTCAAATTTCGGAATATTTTATCCTCATAAATAATAATAACCAAGTGTTATTTTTTTGTTTACCGATGTCAAACATGTTCTTAACTAACATAATATTAATTTAAAATACTTAACTAAATCTTAAAAAATTTGTTATTCATAATGTCATACTAACACCCTGATAAGATATACAAAGTTAGTAATATTTGAAACAGATAACATAATTGATAATCAAAAAAAAATGATAACATAATGTTACACACAGTATTATGAAAGATAAAAATATACACTGACAACAATATGTGCAAAATGGGCAATATTATAAAATTATAAAATTATTGTTAGTTAAAAGGGACGGTAATTCTTATATAAAAAATAGCACATATAAAAATCACAACATTAGGTCACACTTAAATAATAGTAAAAAAAAAATATTTCACACAAAAGGCATCAAACTCTGTTTCCATTTTTTTTTTTTTAAATATACAATCAAAACAAATTTACTTTACGAGATAACAAAGAAAACAATTAAAAACTTTGTTGTTCTATGTTATATTTATGTTTTTTATTAAAATGGCATAAAAATATTTTTGAATAAATTAATATAACTAAAAAGGTCTTAAAATTGTTCCACAAATAATAACTATCAAATAACAAGTAGAGTAAAAAAAAATATATCTGCTGTTATACACCTACAATAATATGTATACATAAATAGTAATTTGTCTAATAAAAAATAACAAGAAAATTAAATCAAATAGGTAATCAAGCTAGGATAGAACAATAACATAATAACTGTGACACAATTTAAATGGCTACATCATTTTGACTTTTGACGCTGCAAACCCCAGAAACAACAAAATAATAAATATATGTAATTTAAAAAATATTAAAACTTTGGTATTTAGTAAGAAAGTATATATGTTAATTTAACGAGAAGTATAGACAATACTACTACTTGTAATGGTTGAAAAAATATTATATAGGTTTGCAATTTTAAATAATGCGGTTGTGTGGTACCACCACCTAGTTGGTGAGCCGAACACATCTTGTTTGTAATGAAAAATAATTATTACAATATTTTTTTTTTTAAACAATAGAAAAAAATACATTTTCGGTCCAGTCACCACTGTTAGGTAGAATAATATTACTATACTCTACGCTTGTAACAAATGTAAGGTGTTTGCAAGATTTTCGGTGATGTTTCCATGACACGCAGCAGCAACTTGTCCAAGTACTCTTCCAACTCAGTTCTCTGTTTGCTTTCATCACGCAAACTGCTTTGCAGCTGAATGACCATTTCGATCAAGTCCTGAAAACATATAACTTTATTACTAGAGCAACTTGTACAGATTATCAGGATGTGAAGTTTTTGTTTGAAGATGTTCATGTACATGAGGGCTTAGCACTTCCTGGGTCACGTCAAACTCTCTTTAAGATGTCTGTGCATTATTAATTTTCTCTCTCAGGCTCAAGTGCTACCACAATTTGAGATAGTATGGAATATACAAATAATAATCCATTATATAAATCAAGTCAAAAGTCACACAATCCAATGATCATCTGACTCATTTTAAGAGCCGTTTAATTCATAAACTGGCTTTTTGTATATCCAGAGGGATCAAAGACAAATATTGCTTATGTTATGTGACTTACGACTGCATAATAATAATTATCAATATATATTGTGTACGATTAAAGATAGTAAATAGAAGTATTTTTTGTCGTGATATTATGTTAATAAATATTTTATATGTAGTTTTGTCTTGTATTTAATAGTATTTTTATTATATGGTGCTATATATTATGATTAAAATGCTAAATATATAAATTATTATTATACATTCACACATGATAATAATGGGCTATACTTTATTCCAAAATTGGATTTACAGCAGATTCCAAGATTTTATTACAAAAGTAGGTTGTAGGTAATTATTTATAATAAACTATTATGTTAACTGTTAATGGTATGAAAAAAAAGTCTGGTTAGGTAGTTGTTATGTATAAAAATAATTTGCCATATCACAGAATTTGTGATAAAAACATTTTGCAAAGGACTATTTCAATGAAGTTGGGTGTTAACTGAAGAACATTGTGCCATTTTTATCCTAGAATAAATCAAGTAATGAACCATATGATAGGCAATTTATTTTATAGTTTGTTTTTAAAATAGCTAAATTTTAAATGGTTTTTTTTTTTTTTTAGTCAAGTTGGGTATAAGATACAATTTTCATATGGGAATAATAGTATACCATTAGAAATTAATTTTCAAAATTATAAACTTATAAAAACCACTGACATAGATAAATCAAATCAAACATTGCCATTAAAAATTATACAAATATCAGAGCGGATAAACAACATTTTTCTTAGAAGAAAGAGTCGGTCCTGAAAAATAGTATGTATTTCTGAAGTATTTTTTAGTAAATCCACAACTGTAAATATTGACTAAATGTTAAAAATGGTCGGGGAGCCTTAAGTCACTCCCAAACTAATAATTATCTATTTACCCTACTGATGGGAAAGCCTGGGTGTACACCCTTCAAAAGAGTGTATGTCATTGACAAACTACTTAATGAACAGTGTAAAATATTTGAGGTGATTTTTTCAAAATTATTGTCATATTTAATATACGCACGTCTCTGGTTTTTCCTTCGAACTTCTGAAGCACCTCTGACGAATGTTTCGAATGCGAATTTTGATGGTGACTGGAATCTTTTTCCTTGCCAATGATGATACGCTCATATGCTTTATTCCATGAGGATAATGCTGATTTGCTTTCTAAAAGATGGTTGCAAAACAGAATTATTAATTCATATATTATACAATTTACAAGGTAGAAACCATTTTCCACAGTTTACAAAAAAAACATTTTGATGATATGTTTATTTGAAATAATTTGACAGAATTTTTAAAATATTGATAAAAACAAATCAAATGTATGAACACCTAACATTGGTTTAACACATTGTTGGTATTGCTGTGTAATGTCCCACCATTGGTGCTGAGTGAGAATCACACTCACCTTGTAGTTAATTCATAATTAATTATTATATCATAACATACAGCATTGAATCAACACAAGATTAGTCACTTAGTTTGTATATTTGGAGACATGTTGATTGAAGGTACAAATAACATCAGAGGAATCAAATAATATACCTACAAGTGGTTATCATAATAATAACATGGTGAACACATAGCTCATATAGTGGCTTACTGAGTTAACCTGCTGACAGGTAAAATGTTCCACTTTCACAGATGGTTATCAATAAACAATATAAACAATTTAGTGAAATTGTACAAATGTAAAACAATCAAAACTATATTAAAGATTATTTTAAGGGTTGGGGAAAATTGTTTAAGAAAATTCTAGTTCATTGGCTATAAGACGGTTAAAAGGTAGTATTCATACACATGATTTGCTAGCCAAAACTATAATTATGAAAAAGTCATCTATTAATGACTTATAACGGTTCAAATATTTTCAAATGCTTTGAGTTATTATTTATTTATATTTTTACTTAACATATACCTATTATTCAGTCGCATATAAGTTATTTTGTTGTACTTTAAATATATTATTATATTTTATACATACAATAACTTTTCAACTGCAATTTTTTTGGCAAACATAAATTTAAACTACTGTGGTATTAATGCCTAATAGTAAAATAATTTACTTTTAACACAATAATATCATAAAATATACTAAGTAATATTATAAGCTAACAGACCATCTTCGATCAGAATCGTTTTTCATATATTTGTATCATTGAATTCAAATGTAACAACATACATTGCAGCGGCCCACTTGTAAACTACTGTACAGCAGAGCAACATCTACTTACCAGCTTTTTATTAATTGTATATTTAAAATAGAAAATGTAGTTTTGACAAAAACACAAGTTAGCACATATTAAGGTAATTAAATAGGTCTGTTATTTCAGTTGAACCTTGTATACCTACACACATACAAATACTGTTAAATTTATTAGTATTATAACTACACGAAAATACAGTAATAAATATTAATAACGGCAACATCAATTGTGAGTAAAATTTTTCATTATTAAGTTTTATGAAAAAAATAATTTACTCGCCAAACTTAATATTTAAATGAATCATCACAATATTACAATTTGGATTGATATAATTGTTAACTAATATTTATATAGGTATACTATATATTACAATTATCTGTTCACTCATAAATATTGAAATGAAAAAAAAAAAATGAATTAACACAATTTGAACTATTATTTTAGATAACAAAATCTTCTTATTTGGAATACTTTTTGTGAAGTATTCCAAATACGTAGAGAACAACTATCATTATAAACTATAAAGTATTAGGATATGTATTTCAAATACATTTTTAAGTACTCAATATCCTTTAAAAGTATTTTACCCAAGTTTGACCAGTACATAATTAAATTTGTTGATATTAATATATTTTATTTATTATCCGGAGTTGCTAAACATAAATTGAACACAGAATTATGTTTTATTACTTAATTGCGTAAATTGTTTATTTGAGCTTTATATTAAAATACGTTTAGAAACTGGGAATTTTGAACATTCGCAGGGTGAGCTATCTTGTTTTACAATATATTTGCTTATTATAATACATGTTTATTTTTTTCAACCTCGTTTATTATAGTTGTTATGATGATTGAGTGGATATATGAAATATTAAAAATACCTCTCAGAGTGTACCCGGAAAATAGTGCTAAAATGCATGCACTAATAAATGATTCTGTACATATAAGTAACTCTAATCCTAAATATAATTTGTACATTGATTTTCTTACTCGGTAATGGGTCATTTTCATTATTGGATTCCTTATTGTTAAAAGAGCGGTCATCGAGTGGTGAAATAGGATGTTTCTTTTGAACTTTGGGACTATTTTTGAGCGATGGCGTAGGACTTTTATCTCTAGTTCTATCGTGATTGATTGGCATGTCTACAGTGTCTTTCAATTTTGACTTCAAAGTGTCAGAAAGTTTCAAAGTATTATTATCTGGAAAAAGAATTTTTCAACAGTAATTTCCAAATTTTATTTTTAAATTAAATTAATTCTAAACTTAATGTATACCCTTGTTTTTGTAAAGTTTTCTTTGCCATTCGTCTTGCGTCTGAGAAACTGGTGAACGATTCATAACTGGAGATTTATTCATTGTATCTGAGTTACTAACACTTTCAACTGATCCATGAATATGTAATGTTAACCCGCTAATAGGTGAGCTATTCACACCTTTGCGATCAGATTGACCAGATGTCTCTAAAGAGCAAGCTGACCCCTTGTGCGATAAATCTTCGAGCTGAAAGAATAAAAAATAATAGATGTATTAATAAACAACCTATAACTTACGGAAAGACTTGTTAACAATTATATTTACGGCAAAATCATCATCGTCACTGATAACACCTGGATCGGCATCATATCCTGCTTGTGAAGATTTTATTTTGTTAGGATTTTCCACACTTAAATTAATACTCGAGGATGATATTTCTTGAATTTTTTTTTCTCGTTTAATTTTGCCCGCTAAAATAAAAAATATACTTTTTATTTATCACATTTGATAAAAACACATCACGACCACAATAATTAAATTTAAATAAGTAATTACTTATTGTTTTAGCTAGCTTCTTGAAAGATTTCTTATCAACACTACTAATACTCATCAAACTACCACCTAAAACATTCACAAAGTTACATAGTTTTAAAATTTAAATGTTTTACACTGATATGCACTCACTGATATTAGAAGCTGTGTGAGATAATTGCCCAACAGATAATCTGTGTTTTTCTTTCTTGCTAAGATCCCGTAAACTTCCAGATTTAACTGTGAATGCTATTTTGACCTGTAATTCACCGCGTTCTTTGTTTTCTTGTCCATTCTTGCTTTTTAGAGGGTACCATCTGAATTTGATATAGGGCAGAAATTGAGGTTAATGATTTTCTGGTTATTTTTAATCAGTTATTATTAACCAAAGTAAGTAACATTAAATGTATAAAATATTGTCTGATAATGTAAACAGATAAAATAGATTTTTTTATAATAAAAGAAGAAAAACTACATCTAATTTATAAACTTCTATGCACTATCATGTATGAATAATACATCAATTGTATCAGTCTACATTTTGTATGGGTTATAAATAAAGTAGAACCTTGATTATTAGAACTTCCATTAAACAAAACCTCTATTATCCAAATATCAATTATATGCATAGTAGAACTCGTCCATGTAATCATGTATTTATAATAAAATAATGTATATAATAATCCTATATTAATAATAATTATAACAATAAACATCATACAATATTATGTATGTTTTTTAGAGATATGTATGAACACATTAAATATATGCATAACCCAGTATCCAAACTAAGTGCGGTTTCAATTAGTTTTAACAATCGAGTTTCTACTGTATTCTAAGACAAAATCTTTACTATGCACATTTTCTTTTCATTAAAGCATAAACATACTTGCTTTTTGGACGTTCATAAACATCTATATCGGCCAAAGGTATTGTGGTCTGGCCCAAAAATTGATCTAATCCCAAAAAATTTTGGTGCAGTACACTTAGTACTAATTCTGCAGTATTTCCTTGTTTAGGAATTTGTCTGGAAAACACATATTGGTAAGTTTTTGTATTAAATTACTTGTATACTTTTAAAATAGCTTACAATTCACAAACTTCATGCCATTCTGTTAACTCGGTATCAATAGCTTTTTCTTTTGGCGATGTTTGATACTTTTCTTTACCCAAACCAATGGTGACAAATACATCATTTTTGGCTAAAGTAAAACACCATTCAAGATTAGACATACCAATTAATTATGCAAAAAATGTATATTTGTATGTGTTACATTATTATATACAAAGTATACTTATAAACTAAGGTTTAAGCATTATTGTGCAATAGGCACAAAGAAAATAAAAATAAAATATGTAGCTAAATTAATATATAACAATTTTATAACTATTGAAATTTTTTGATTTATTTGTTCCGATTTAAGACAATAAATTATTTACATAAATATATAGCTATACCTACATTTATTTATAAAAAATAATTAATTAATTGGCAACTAATGCCCAAAAGTCAAGTTAAATAATTAAGTCATTTATTTATATTAGACTATACATGAAATAATGTTTTTTTATATTATGATTAAAATACAAAATTATATTAACACATATAAATTGAAGCTATAGAAGAAACTTATTTTGAAAGAAAGTTGATTCTTAATACATAGGTACATAAAATAAATTTAAGAAATATCATATTATTATTAAAGCAATAAAATAAAATAATTTAAACGTTTATTACATAAATAAATTCACATTTTCTAGTATATTAGGTACTAAGGTACAATATTTACCAGTGAGCACATTTTTATAAAACTGTGGGACATAAATTTGCTTTTTATTATGAGCATTATGTTTATTCACTTTGAAGCGAATTTGATAAAGTAGAAATGAGTCATCGATGATATTATCAACTATTGGAGAAATTTTATTTGACTTTATTTAAAAATGACTGAATTTTTGTTTCTTTTAAGGAATTTAAATTTAAATATTTAAGGATATCATCATAACTAGTGAAATATGTTAGGTAATACAAATGTGTAGTATAATACTAAGAACTTTATTTTGGACATAAATAAGATAGATATAAATAGACTTAAATTTGGGCATAGTGTAGTACAGGGGTCGACAACCGGCGGCCCGTGCAACCCAATATAATTGAACGTTGCATTTTTTAAATAATTTTTAATACAACATTTTTATTTTTGTTAGGCCCACAAAATCTTTATAATTTGCGAATGTGGCGTCAAAAAAGGGTTGTCGACCACTTTTGTAATACATTATAAGATTCCTGTATGGTTAAAATTCGTTCTACTAAGGAAAATATAATTTATGTATAAAGACTTTTTTATTTGAATTTTGAATAGATCGTTTATATTAAAGCCATAACACTTTCCATGTAAAACAGCTTTTCTCCATTGGAAAAATAATTTATTTTTTATTATTTGTGAAAGATATATATTGACTTTTGTTAAGATTAAAAGACATACCATGTGAAAATAAAGATCAACGAGGAGAATACTGTTAACATCATTTTGCAGAAATTTGTCAACTTTTATATTTTAACACATAACAAAAATTTGCATTATCAGCAAATAATAGAACTTTCATGTTCTATTCACAAAATTTCAATGATTCATAGATAAAAGAGGTTATTACCAAGAAAAACACCTGAAATTACTGAAATTGAATTAAGATATTTGTGTTAAGAAAGAATCAAACCAAGATAATAAATGGACAGCATTCAATACATTTTTTATTTTTAAGTTGAAGGTTTTTCTAAGTCGGCAATATCAGATAAAGATAACATTTCAAAATGTATAATCATTTTAGTTTTAAATATTCTTATGGTCGCTTAAGCTTATAAGGAACAACATTTTTAATTGTGCTTCTTTAACTATTTTAGCTAACTACTAACCATTTAATTAAGACATGATCTAATTAAAATAATAAACTATTATCTTGAAACTTAATAGCAACCTCCAATTTCTAAATGACCTAATGATTGACCTTACATATATCCAAAAAGAAATAAATACTAAGTGGTCTGATAATGTTTCTCAGAATGTTTTACAAATAGCTAATAAGTAAACCACATTATTATGACTCACTACTATGTGTTTAGGGTGAAGGGAAACGTAAGAAATAACAAATATGTAGTATGAGTGGGTTTATTATTTTTGCCAGTCAATAACACAGTAATGATTTGACTAAAGCTGAGTGAGAGACAGAGATAAAGAGAGAGAGAGAGAGAGTGTGTGTGTGTGTATGTATAGGGAGAATACAATTGTTTTGCTTAATGTTTTGCACTATACAACGATACAATGAACAATTTATGAAGAGGATGGATGAATCGAGATAGCCATAAGTATTAATGAAATAATCGGAAAAATACTAACCGTTTTTATTCTTAAAGTTTAAGCCCCTGGTCCTCTGAACTGTAAATGAAACACAGTGGCATTAATATCATTGTTACTATAGGTAGCTACCAAGTAGATATTTTTCAATTTTCCAAAAACACATACCTGTGACTTGTACGTGCGTGGGACTCCACATAGCGTCGGTGGATTGGTTCGTCCGGTGGCTAGGAACAATGAGTGAGTGAAAAAAATGTTTAAAAAAAATAAAAAAAGCCCCGGAGACCGACGAAAGACGAAACAATAGCTGTAGGTGGTAGGCTACATGGACTTGAGATGAACTGCGAGAGTGCCAGTGGAGACGGTTTGCAATTGATAAGAAATGTTTACGACAGCGATAAGCCTTAGCGCCACGACGGATAAAAAAAATGCATACAAACTGCGTATGGTACGACTGCAGTTGGCCACGGTTCACGATTGAAGATAAGATTATCTTATCATTAATCGTGATTAGTGATAACTAAAAATCGCATTGAATTTCTCACGGTCTTATATTATTATTATTTAATATTTATTATGTATTTATGTGAGACCTTAGAATAGACTAACCTAACCTAACCTAGACCTTATAATAATTCATAATTAATGTTTGGATGTTATTATTAACTTGTTTGAGGTGTGGCCGTGTGAGAACTCCATACAAATTGAGTTCAAATGTAAATGAATAATTACTAATTTACTTTTAAAAAAAAAATTATCTCAAAAAAGTATTTATACAATAAATGAATTTAATAAGTCAAGGGATAGTATTATTTTATTATGTATGAAACAACGGACAACTCATGTAGGTATAGAGCAAACATCAGTATGTTTTTGTATGGTCGATCATAATTTAGATGTATCTGAATTGTTTTTAAGCTTTATTAATACAACAACTTAATTAATTTTCTGATGTTCTAACTCAACTTAAACCATCAATAACAACTGCTGTGGTAAGTTATGGAGGTAATGCACATGTAAGTGGCCATATTACTATTACTTAGGATGGATAGTTAAAATTTTTACACATTATTTTTAATAGAAAAGGGAGGCCTTGATAGAGCACTCTATGATTTTTTGAAATCTTAGAGCCTATGAATCAAGTGATGATGATAAATATAAATCATGAACTTGCGCATGGACTGAAACAAAAACTGCTTAAGTATAATCTAGTACCCCAGTACAATTAATAGGATTCAGATTTGAAGGAAATTTAAACAATAAAAAAACACTTAAAATGTAAGAGAAAAGCACTTTATCTATACAATGTATAAAATGCGCTACATTTTCACTAATAACCTAATTTGTGTTATAAAATTTACAGCCATGATATACATCACAAACTATCTTTAGTAAAGCAATGGATAGGATATTTTTATTCAATTAATACAACATGGGTGATAAGTCATAGGTACCCATTTGGGTACTTTCTAGTCATTACAAGTACTTCTCAAGCATACCATTGACGAGTTGACGACCCATCATTTTCACAAGCATTTATCGATATGTCCTGTAAATACAAATAATTTATGATCAATTGATAAATTATTTAACACAAAATATGTACATTTACATTAGTAAAAAAACAAAACTAATACTTATCAATAACATAAAAAAGCAATGAAACACATATTTTTGATATATTTATAATATTATGTTATTTAATGTGCACATGGCAGATAGCAAGCTAAACATCTACTATGCTTACAAAAAAATGTATTCCTACTATAAATTACATAGTAAATGGGACGTTGTTAATGGAAATAACATAAGTTTTGAAAGAAAAGTATTATATATAGTTGGTAAATGATGAATAAATATTATAAAATTAGATTATCTGATTTAGATACATAATATCATTGTTAAACCGGTAGATTTAAAAAGTTGGAAATAAAATGAAATTATAATTTATTTATAAGAAATATATTATACCAATATACAGAAGAGTAGTCGGGGGTACTAAGGGGACTATAATTCACTGTGTTTATTTTAGTTTATTTATAATATATTAAACAAATGATTTTACAAAAACATTGCCCCCCCTCCACACACACACACACACACACACACACACGTACCTAATACTTTGTCTCATATTTCACCAAATTCTTCAGTTTGTAACGTTTTTACTGTAAACATAATATTTAACAACGACGGCACAGCAACAATAGCATCAGCAATCGGCATCGTTTTTATTAATTTCGTATAGGGCATTTATAAATACGAGTTCTATCATAAGCCATTATAAATTATTAACATATAGCTCGAACTGACTATTCGTGTGACGCTTAAGTTTTTCTCTATCTTTTATAGAACTAGAATAGTAGAATGCTCTTCACCGGTTACTTAATGATATATTGATTTCAATATTCATAAAAAAAATTGAAGGGGGCCTTTCCAACAGTGCCCACCCTGGCTACGGAACAAGTACAAATAAACAGGTATCCGAGTCGGCGAGTCATAGGTAGTACTATAGTAGTAATACAAATATATAATCCGTACAGTGGTTGATCGATTTTATGTAAAACATTCTACTGCGTGGAAATACAATAACTCTGGTTATTGACTGTCGTCATCTACCCTATATTAATATTTTAAATGCAATTTTTTTGTCAATGACTGAGTTTCATCACTTCGACGATATTTAGATAAAAGAATATTTTCAGCGGAATAAATTCCATGTGCAATAGCCAATAGGACCTAACAAAGAATAACCAAGCACACTATTTCGTGAATCCAAAATTTTGGCAAATCAAAAATCTAACATTTTAATTTGGTAAATCCAAAAACCAAAATGCCATGTAGTCGAAGCCCACAACAATCTCAAATAAACAATAGGGAATAAACCAAGAGCGAATTTTCAACAATCTAAATTTTGAAATTCTCAAAATTCCGATTTTGAAAATACCAAAATGTTCAAAGATCTTTAAAACATTTTACCCTAACATTTGTAATTGATATGTGGGCCGTTCCCGGTGGTATTGCAATACCGGGTCAACCCGCGGTGAAAATTGTTTTTATCAACGCCGGGGCCCGTTCTCCTACTATCAAAAAGATCGCTACTACGTCATTTTTATATAATATGTTACTTGTTGAACGACTTTTCAACAGACGCACTGACAGGTTATACTTACGTCCGAAATAATTATCAGTAGGTAAGCTGGGGGGCGAATGTAAGTTCCTACACGAGAGTAGCAGGTACACAAAATACATACGTTAGTTCCTACACGACGGAAAAAGGTACATATATAAGTTCCTACACAGTACACGGTAAAAACCAGGTACGTATGTTAGTACCTACATGGCGGAAAAGGGTACGTATGTAAGTTCCTACACGGTTAAAATCAGGTACGTATGTTAGTTACAGCGGAAAGGGTTAAATATGTATATTACACACAATTAAATATGTATATACGAATTTAAAAAACCAAATATATTATGATGATTAAAAAATATAATACAAATCGTGCATTTTCACAAATAAATATTGTATAATATGGTGATTAAAAAATATAATATTTCCCATATATTATCGTATTATCCCGTAATTTTGTATACGTTTTGCTTTAAATGAAGTATATTAATTGAATGTATATTAGTAAGCTACGGCTGGACATATTATTATTAAAACGATACGTCTGTGTATAATATACATATTTAACCCTTTCCGCAGTGAAGGAACTAACATACGTACCTGGTTTTTACCGTGTAGGAACTTACATAAGTACCTTCTTCCGTCGTGTAGGAACTAACATACGTACCTGTTTTTTACCGTATAGGAACTTACATATGCCCGTGTAGGAACTAGGTAACGTATGTAATTGTTTACCTGCTACTCTCGTGTAGGAACTTACTATTCCCCAAGTTGGGTCCCTCAAAAAAGGTTCAAAAAAGGCCATAGCTATATAAAATCGTGAATTGTCAATTAAAACTATAATCAAATCATTATATGCATTTTTAACTACAACATAATACATAAAAAGATAAACCCATGTTGTAGAGTATACGATATACGTATATACTCGTACGTATGTTCTAAAATAAAGCCTTAAATTGTGTACGCATAAGTTGATTAATTACTGAATTAAAATGTTGGTTAAATTATTGTACTATGATTTTATAACATTTGTTTTAGTGTGTATATGCTGATAAATGATAATATTTTATTGTTAGTCGCAGACATAACATAGACAATTTACATTCCTCGTAATATGAACCATATTACTGTAACTCATAACATATAATGGTCACTACTCGGTCACGACATTGATAGCAGATAAGAAATAATATTGTTGTGTTGCGCCCCTCAAACGAACGCAAGTTACCTGCTAAATTTACTACCTGTAAAATTTATGTTTTGGAGGACGCAAGTAGTATGCAGCCGCACCAACGAATATCTATCTCAATGCACGACCGTTATTAAAGCTATCAAATAACTTATTAACACAGGTGCAAGCAATAATATTCTAAATTCACTTATCTTCAGACTTCAAGGACTCTTGCCTCTGAGTGTAACACGAAATATTAATTGGTATTTAACCAAAATTGGGTTATTCAATCCAAGTGCAATAGGTAATAATGTAATATATTACTTTGGAAAAATCAAAAAGTTTCGGAAACTAGGGATTTAATTTATTAAAAGATGAAATCCAAAATCCTAAATTTCGAAAATACGTGAACCATATCATTGACGGACGCATCAGAAATTCACTATTTTAAATTTAGGAAAAACCAAAACCAAAATTTTTTTTCGAAAAATTCAAAATCAAAATTTTTGAAAATCGAAAAACTTCAAGTTTCAAAATCGAAAACTTTTAGTTTTTGAAAAAAAAATGTATTTACTTATAGTACTACGATCAATTGATATGTGGGCCGTTCCCGGCGGTACTGCAATACCGGGTCAACCCGCGGTGGAGCAGGAGCAAGCCCCAAAATCTCCACCAATTGTGAAAAAATTAGTTTAACATTTGAACCTTTCAATGAAAGGTGTATCAGATGTTAAGCTGATAAGAACAGATTTTAATTAAAAATTTTTATGGGGATACAAATTATGGGAGAATACAATATCATGGGGGGGGAAACATCAAACAAAGAGGAATATCAGCATAAATAAAAATCACTGAGAAGAATCACAAGTGACAAACAACAATAAATCGATAAAAATTACAAAAATTACAAAAAATTACAAAATATAAAAAAGACATGGAACTCACAGGCAAGTTCAGCATGGTATTAACTAGATAAATTAGAATAAAGTATAAAAATATGAGACATGTGTATATATACAAAAAAGAAAAGAAAAAAGTTAAGGTTATTCGCGGACCTGCCGAACACCGGTCAGGTGCTCAATATACACGTCCCGTGAAGCCGCTATCGTATCGCTCACACACAGCTTGCGCATTAGTGTGGCGTACGAGCGACTACAC